AGAAGCGTTTTATGAACAGATTCTAGTGTTTGTCTCTCTCTTTCTCGATTTTTATACTGGGCAGGAACGACCCTAGGTACTCAGGTACGTAGCCCACTCGACCCTGCGGCCATGTGCCAAGTTTGGACGGTCTCCGCTGCCCCGTCAAGGCAACAAACGATTCTCTATACGTTTTTAGCCTGGTCACCATTGATCTCATCCCTGAACATTCATATAATCGCCATAGATTCGAACCGAACTCGCCATTTTTACCGTTCGTTTAAACTGCGTTATCCGAGAGGGAAAAAACGAAGAAACAACCTTACCTAGAGGCTCGGCAGAACAGATTATGTTATAGCGTCGATACAACTGACACGGCGTTCAAACGCTATACGCTCGAGTGCTAATTCAAATATCGTAGAAACCTACTGTAGTAGATACGTAAGCCTCGATTAAATCGTAGTCGAGTGGAAAACCCCGCCTTATTCGTACGCGTCAAGACTTTGACGTGTGGAACCCTCTCATCCGTAGCCTTCAGTACTCCTCTCCCAATATCAGAAACTGATCAGAATCGAAACGATTCGAGTAAACGACCACTGCATGGCTAGCGTCGGAGATGAGATCACTCGGCTTCCCTGCTATAATAGGAGATTCGTAGCCAGCGCCACGTACAGATTGATCTCGTCGCTGGCGGAACAGATTCTGGTAGCAGCTGCAAATGGGCGATATCTCTGGTTAGATGCCCGTATAAAATGCAGGTTTGCCTTCCGACCAGGCTCATCCATCACACACTACCCAACGTTCGTGCTCTTTCTTGCTTGATGAATGAAGTCTATCCACTGGAACGCTGGTTAGATACCGAAGAAAGCAGACAAAGCAGGCTTATCCTCTAAACAGAGACTGACCATCTCGTTCGTAAACTCAAATCGTCCCCAGAAAACACAGATTCTTCTACGCCTCAAGCACTGCCTACGGTCGAAAAAGGTTGTTAAACACCTAGACATCCACCTATCAGTCGACAAAATTGGCCGAGAACCGACTAATGCACCACCAAATAGCACGGTCCGCCGGAATCTATCTCACAACTGAGGCGGGCGAAAGACGAACAGTCACAATCATCTGGTTCAGGGAACGTAGATCCTTGAGCCCCACAAGCATGACACCATACCACGAAGACCTGCCGATTATTCTGTAGTCAAAAGTTCCTTCTTTCGATTAAGTCCGTCTTGCTCTGCTGTACATAGCAATTTATTCATACATCCAATGACCCGGCTGCTGTGTCGGCCGGTGCAAATAACAGCCTCAATGCCCATGGCCTTATGCGTCGGCGTCCCCACCTTCAGGAACCTCTTCCTCCTCGCTCTCAGAGACGTCCTCTCCAAGTATCCGGAGATGTTTCTGTTGGTGTTAGCAAGCTGGCCAAACGACCGAAAACGAAATTTTCGTACCTTGTCTATTGACCTCTTCTCCTCAAGATCCGCAAGCACCATGAGCATGTCATCAAGTTCTGTTTGCGCTGACTTTCTGGCCTCTTCTTTGCTGTCAATCTCGCTCTGCAGACGACTGGCTCTCGTTTCAGCATCGTTGGCCTTGTCTTCTGCGCGTTGCAGGCGGAGCTCCAATCCAGATATCTTCGTGGAGTAGTCTTCATGTGCGATATGAAGATCTTGCGCATGCTCTTTGCTAGACTTTTCCAGCTCGTCTCTTAGCCTCCGAACCGTGGCTTTCAGGTCCTCTATCTCGGCGTCAGTCCTCGTTCGGACCCTTGTAGCGTCTGCATCAGCTGCTTCTCTCTTTCTCTGCATTTCGCTCTTCAGCGACTGCATGGACGCTTCGTGTGTCCTCTGTGTCGCTACCTGAGCCTGCTGATGCTTTTGTACGGTTGTTTGCATATCTTCTTCGTGATTACGCTGAAGTGCTTCGTTAATGTTCTTGATCCTGCTCAGTTCCACAGTAGCAGAGTCTTTGGCTTTCCGGTGGTCGGCCTGCTCTTGTCCGAGTTTTCGCTCAAGCGTCAACTTCCCTGACTCGAGCTTCTGTATTGTTTGCTCTGCAGCGTCGACTTGCGATTTCAGTGAATCGACCAACTCGCGGGAGACACCTTTCTGGATTCCGTTCGCAACCACAGCCACTTCAATACCTGGAGGTCGATCGACTGCTCTCGTGACACGGCTGAAATTGTCCTTCAGAAAGTCCACAAACGTCCGGTCGAAGTAGACTTCAGGCAGCCCACCGGGCAGGCTGGAGGCAAAACCTTGGTGCAGCACTTCGAAATCACGGATCATGGTATGTTCCCGTAGCTTAGTAATTCTATCAACGTATTGTTCACGCCCTAAGCCGGTGGTGAGGATTTGATGAAGAGTAGCTCGCGGTATCGGAGAGTCTTTGGTTGAAAATTCATAGATGATGCCCAGCAGGAAAGCGCACAGTCCTGATACAAGAATTCGAGACGGACTGTTCCGTGTAATTAGCTGTACTATGCTTTGTACACTGCTGCCTTCGCCGAGGAAGTCATTGACTGCGTCATGATCCTCGTATAGCCACCCGCACAAAATCATGAGATATCCAATAGACACCCTTGGGTCTTCGTGCTTCTGTTCACCTGAAATGAGATTCGATGATAACTTCTGTATACAGGTGATGACTTCCTCCCCGTTTTCGGCATCGCCCTCGGCAACACTCATGGCAATATTCTTCGCATCAAAGTCCTCATACAGAAGATGAAATAGCAAGACTGCAGAGATCCAAGATCTGTATGGATCCACTCCATGAGAGGACTCGGGGTCATCTAAAAGAATTGTGATTATGTTGTCTGTTTCGACCTGATCGGATGTATGGCCCTCGATGGCTCTACGCAGAAAATGCAAGCGTATTGCTGCATGGCCACACAAGTACGCTTTGAGACACTCGCAAGCGGATAGCCGGACGTCGAATGCATAAGTGGAAGATGGCGCAAGGGCCAGATCAAGGAGACCGGATATAACGTTTACTGTTGACCGCGGAGCCTGACCGTTAGCATGACCATTGAGTTGCAGAACCTCCTGCCTCGGCGAGAGAACATCACGCTGTGCGAAACCTTCCTGTAAGCTGGTGTTTGACCTTATGAGATCGGCACCTGTGACCAAGGCCTTTTGCACGGATCAATTAGCGATGCGAGCGTTGGTGGGTGCGAATTCGACTAACCTCTGCTCTGATCGGGATGTCGAATGATTCACGAAAAGCTATGTCCAGCACTTGAGTCAATACCCCACTTTGCCAGAACGACATTTGATTTGCTTGCGTTCCTAGGCTACCTCTGACAAGGAAGAGTCGTAGGACAGCGAGAAGGCCCCAAACATTTTTGTCCCGCTGAGGCCTGGCCCATTCTGGTACCCCATCTGGGAGATCTTGTTCGCGAATAGCCTCACTCAGGAGACTCGCGAGCTTCTTCACGGATCCTGTTTCGCGAAAGTAGGATTGGTTCGAGACGTTCATGCGAAGGAGGTTTGCCAGTAGAGACAAACAGTCCTGCACCGAAATGCCTCCGTGTGTCAGTGCACCTTCCGAATCAATGATGCCAAATATGCGATCGAAGGCATTCTCAAATGCTACGAGCTTTTGTAAATCTGGCGAGGACGGTGTGAGTGCAGTGAGCAGGAGTAAACCCTCTATTGTTCGCTATTAGCCCTATTCCTAGATAGTTCTTTCCATACGGGTCACCATACCACTCCGCACAGCTTCTCTTTTATCTTCGAGTACAGCAACCAATCTAGACACACCAAGAGGAGCTGTGTAGACACATTCCTGTGTTCGCTCGGGGCGTGCAGACGATATGGCGGATATTAATTGTAACGAGTACAGCCGTGAAAAGAAGTCGTATGCGTCCAGAAGGTCCAAGAGAGCTGTAATATTTTCTTGCCGCTACTCGGTCAACTCAGCAGGCGATCAAGCTCATGGTCATTATACGTCACTCACTTGGGTGAATTCATCTGCAAGCCAGAGAGCTATGTCATCTGAAGCTTCCGGCTTCTGGTTATTAGTACCTTAGTAAAGACAGTGTTTTCTGGGGTGATTACCCACACTTGACTCATCAGGGTTGAAAAGCATCAGCAATGTTTCTAGTATTACCTTCGTAGTGTCCACATCCTCAACATCGTTGTTAAGGCAGCTAATGAGGCTCCTAAGAGCCCCAGATGCCACAGAGGCTGGATAGACTTTTGCAAAACTTCTCAACCCTAATATCGCTGCTCTTCGATCCTCTAAAAGTGTGGCACTTTGTAGACGCCCACTTAAGGTAGAGATTGTGGTCGTTGCATTCTGCTTCGCCGGTGCCTGCGATTCGAGTATGCGGAACATTGTACTATGGTGGCTGCATTCTCTTCAGTGAGCGTGACCTGGACAGCCTCCACATTATCGACTACTGACTCGCCATCGCCTTCCCAAAGCTTTTAGCTCGGCGCGCTGCACATCTGGAAAACAGCCATTGGGGTATGATACTTGTCGGGCTCTCCGGCCTGTAATTTTGACACTGCAGATCGTTAGCCTCGGAAAAAGGTTTTTCCATTACCCGCAAGTCCATCCTGCAGACAAGCTTTCTTAAGCCTGAGGTCAAACGATCACCTCGCCATTTCACTCTTCGAAAGCTTCAAAGGCGCACCACTGCAAAGGCTTCTTACCATCTGACAAAGTGACGAGCGCCAGGCGCTCTTTCATCTCGGTAGATTGAAGGTTGCTCACTGTGTGTTAGGATTCAGCAGGGGTTAACTTCGCACCTCTAGCTTCTTGAAGCACTGGCCTGCCATCTCTCCTATGCACCATAGGTTTCCCATGGTAAACCTGCAATTTCCGACCTACGATCATTATTGAGGTCCAGCATATACTGTCCTTGATTACCCGCTTGGAGGCTCTCCTCGTTGATGACAAAGAGCACGAAGGATAGCCCTACAGCTACCATTTTTTGGATATCAACGTGCGCGTGTTTATATCATAACCTTTCCTCACGGCACCGAGAACCTTAGGAGTCTCCCAACACACAAGCAAACATGGGTGTTCCAGCGCTTTTTCGCTGGCTGTCGCAGAAGTACCCTAAGATCATCTCGCAGGTCATCGAAGAGAAACCAGGAGAAGTAGATGGACAGGAGATACCGGTCAGCACGGCGGGTCCAAATCCCAACGGAGAGGAATTCGACAATTTGTGCGTTACATTCTGGCATCTTTGGGAGTGTATAGTTGATGGTTCTAATTGGTGAGAAGGTATCTTGACATGAATGGCATTGTCCATCCCTGTTCACACCCAGAAGATCGCCCACCGCCATCTACAGAAGAAGAGATGATGCTAGCAATATTTAAATATACGGATCGAGTGGTGAACATGGTTAGGCCAAGGAAACTGCTATTGATTGCTGTTGGTACGTTCAATGCTGTCATGCCCTGGGATCTTAGATCTGCCTATCCCCTTAGACTGGCTACCCTATCCGCTGAGATCTTGAAGTCATCAGGGGGGGGTGCATTCCTTTCACGATTCAACTGGAATCGACTACGAAACAAGCTAAAATACTCCTGCAGACGGTGTTGCTCCTCGTGCAAAGATGAATCAGCAACGCTCCCGACGCTTCAGATCGGCCCAGGAAGCAGCACAGAAGGACGAAGACAAGGAGGAATTTCTCAAAATGCTCAAGTCGCAGAACAACGGAGTGGTGCATGAAGATGCCACAGCCATGGCACAAAAGAAGACTTGGGATAGCAATGCCATTACTCCAGGGACGCCGTTCATGGACATCCTTGCCGCGAGTCTTCGATACTGGTGTGCGTACAAAGTCAACACTGATCCAGCGTGGGAAAAGGTCAAGGTTATCATATCAGACGCAACGGTGCCGGGTGAAGGAGAACATAAGATCATGGAGTTCATCCGCTCACAGCGATCTTCGCCTGAGCATGATCCTAATACTCGCCATGTAATGTATGGACTTGATGCCGATTTAATCATGCTTGGTCTCGCAACCCATGAGCCTCATTTTCGCGTTCTTCGCGAGGATGTCTTCTTCCAAGAGTCAAAAGCGCGTACTTGCCACATCTGTGGTCAAAAGGGCCACATAGCGGAGGCATGCAAAGGTGAAGCTAAGCAAAAGGAGGGAGATTTTGGTGAGAAAGACAAAGCCCTCACTGACAAGCCCTTCATCTGGCTCCATGTCTCTGTTCTTCGTGAGTACCTCGAAGCCGAATTGCATGTGCCGCAAGCGACTTTTCGCTTCGACCTAGAGAGAGCTTTGGATGACTGGGTTTTTATGTGCTTTTTTGTTGGGAACGATTTTCTTCCACATCTACCCAGTCTTGATATCAGGGAGAATGGTATTGACACTCTCATTGCTATTTGGCGAGACAACATCCCGTTGATGGGAGGTTATGTCACAAAAGATGGGCATGTTGATTTAGAACGCGCTCAATTCATCTTGGATGGGCTGGCTAAGCAGGAAGATGCAATCTTTCGGCGTCGACGACAGACAGAAGAGCGACGAGATGCTAATGCCAAGCGACGAAAATTAGAAGAGCAGAATCGAAGCAGGAGCCAAAATAATACTGTGCAACGTGGCCGTCGAGGATCTCCAGACTACAGCAGCCCGTCGAGTGGTACCATAGGCCGAGCGAAGGATCCATCAATCGCTCCTGCAGACATGCCATTGTTCGTTCCGGGTAAAGGTATCCTCACCAAGGAAGAAAGAGCTGTCACTCATGATATGGTCGTGAATCGTGGCACGGTGCACAAAGCTAATGCGGCCAACAAAAGTGCTGCAGCTGCATTGAAAAGTCAACTACTAGGAGGTCAGATTGATCTATCTTCGGCAAACCAGACCGAGCCATCAGCCGGGGATGGCGCAGACGGTAGCGGGCAGAATAGTACCCCCCAAAGTGCAGACGTAACCACCACGCCGGTATCGGCTTCGAGGAAGAGAAAAGCAGAACTCATGGAGGATGGAGACGCAGGGACCCCAAGCCGCGATAGCCCTGATGTCTCGAACAAACCACAGGCAGACTCGGATGAGCCGCCACCCGACAATGTTCGTTTGTGGGAGGAAGGCTACGCTGACCGGTACTACGAACAGAAGTTTAACGTCGATCCTAAGGACATCGCCTTTCGCAACAACGTTGCAAGAGCCTACGTGGAAGGTCTTGCATGGGTTCTTCTCTATTACTTCCAGGGATGCCCATCGTGGACCTGGTACTACCCGTATCACTACGCTCCCTTCGCAGCTGACTTCGTCGAGCTTGATAAGATGAATATAAAATTCGAGAAAGGCACACCTTTCAAGCCGTTTGAACAGCTCATGGGCGTCTTGCCCGCAGCCTCGAACCACGCGATACCAGAAGTGTTCAGATCATTAATGAGTGATAAGGATAGCGAGATTCTAGATTTCTATCCACCGGACTTTCCGATTGATCTGAATGGAAAGAAGTTTGCCTGGCAAGGCGTTGCATTGCTGCCTTTCATCGACGCAAAGAGGTTGCTCGAAGCTATGGCGACGAGGTATCCGCTGCTATCTGCCGATGACGTTGCAAGGAATGCGTTGGGGAAGGATGTTCTGATCATGTCCAACCGACATCCTTTGTATGAAGAGATAGCGACAAACTTCTATTCGAAGCGTCAGGGCTCACCGAAGTACAAGATCAATCCCCGCATAAGCGAAGGACTGGCCGGCAAAGTTGAGAAGAACGAGGACTATATACCTCAAAGTTCTCTAATTTTCCCACTCGAGGAAGGAGTGATGCCCAACCTGGACGAAGATAATAGCATCAGGTACGTCTACCCTCCCAGTCAAGAGGCTCAAGTTAACACCTGACCTAGTGTCCACTATGAAATGCCTCATTCAGTGCATATCCATAAATCAATGATACTTCGAGGTGTCAAATCTGCACCGCCCACTCTTGATCGCGCCGACATCGAGGCTACCAAAGGACGCGCGAACTCCTCTGGCCGCTCTCATGGGGGTGCACCTTTGGGAGGTGGTCGAGGTAGCGGCCGTGGTCGAGGCGGTCAGATCAACTACTCCAATGATAGGCCTAACCCATTCGCCCAGCATCTAAATCCCGGCTTTGCACCTCCGCCAAATGGTTACGGACGAGGTGCTCCACCTCCAGGCCAATTCAATGGCTATCCTCCTCCGCCTCCGCGAGCTTACTTCAACGGACCGCCTCCACCTCCTCAAAATGGGTACTATGGCGGACCGCCTCCAGTAGCTCAAGGTCGATACAATGGACCACCGCCGCCACCACAACCTGGTTACTATAATGGACCTCCGCCCACACCGCAGAATGGATATGGTAAAGGAGGTCAACATTTGAATAATCATTATGGTAGATAGCGATCATTCAGGATGTGTCATGGCCCGCGCGATAGCATTCAAGGGCTGCTTGGAATTGTAAACAGTGTATCATAATTAGCGATTGCTCTCGCTTATGTTCGGAGCTTCACTCGAGCAGTGTAAATTTGTGCAATGCTCCAGTCGCAAGGAATGAAGTATATTAGACACTACAAACTCTACACCCTCGGTACGCCAAGAAGAGCCCTAGAAATGTCAAATGGTAATGTTGCTGCAGAATCACGTAGCCATTGGTAGCACCTGTTATTGCTTTTTGACACCAACAACGTTCCTTATCATCGCACTCTTGGGGTGGTCGAAAGTTAATGCTCATTACCGAGAGGTTCGTTCTTCTTCGTCTTTATCTCCGATAGAGCAATCCGCATCCTCCGGCGATCTGGTCTATCATGAAGAGACCAAAGATCCGATAGTCCTCAAGCGTGTAGTTTCACTCGCTTCCATGCGAACAGTACTACCTGGCAAGCCCCAGGCCAAGCTTCAAGCTGTTTGTACCGCGCTATGGGAAGGCCAACGCCTTGTGGTACGATATCATAGTTCATTTTCACGAACAGAATCACAATGCTAACGAACCTACCTCTTCAAGGCCTATATCTCGGGCAATGCCTTAGTGATCCTCGGCGGCCCTCAGAGTCTTATCCAGACGATATACGATGACCAGCTCCTGGCCCTGGAGGCTGTGGTGATCGATGAAACTACGGGGAAGATAGCTATATGTAGCTCAGCAAAGGTCCATATCTACAAGCCATACGGGAAGAAAGAGGGTGCTTTGAAGGTATGACCAGAGATACATCATCCACCGCCTTCATTTGAGATTCTGACAGAACGTATAGTGGTCATTCCAGTCCTCGTTACAGGTTCCGAGCCAATGTAATAGTACATTGACACTATCATGGGGGTCGGAGGAAGAGCTATTGATTGGGTCCTCTTCTCTGAAACTTTACCAAACCGTGGAAGAGGATGCTTTGATTTGGAGTCGCAGTCTCCCCAGGCCTGTCAAGATCGCAAGCTTCTCCTACGACGCCAGTCTCATTGCCTCAACCGGTTATCACGATCGGCTGATCAAAATATGGCGAAGGCAGTCTTTCGGCTCAGATGACACACGCTTTGACTTCACCTACCTCCCTCACCCTACAGCAGTGACGCATATCCACTGGCGCAGGCCTCACGACCGCCAACAAACCCTTGACCATGTACTTTTCTCAATATGTGCCGATAGTAAGGTCAGAGTATGGGCAGCTACAGATCCACATGGGCTGCAGGCTTTGCAAATTTGGGCGGAGATAGATATGCAAGAGGCCATACAGCCCCGACAGATCGAGACTCCTCACCAGTCTCGCGAACGCTATGCATTCATGATTGATAGCGAAGACTTTAGGTTCGCAACTGAACGAGCGGTACAAGCAGCCTCTAGGGACCGTCAACGGGAACACCATGCTTTGGAACACTTGCTAGAAGTTGCTAAGACAAGCCCTGAATTATGCATTGTTGTGGATCGACGCGGTAATATGTCTGCATGGGGATTAGAGAACGTGGGCTGTAAAGCTCGGAAAAACACCGACAAATTCAACATTGCCCATGTCGAGAACGTCAAGCTTTCGTTCTTACAGGACGTGAACCCCGAGCAAGACAACATTCAGTTTCTTACCTTTTGTAGCCAGGAGGCCGACTCACCATTCACTCTTCTTGTGCATCACTTTGATGGAAGGATCATGTGGTATGGAAGCAATCTCGAAGAACTCTTTGATCCTTCTCCGCGTCAGCAACGACTAACGCCAAAGGCATTATGGACAGGTCATGATGGGTCGGTCAAGAAGATTGTACGCAGTGGAAGCGGCAAAGCTCTCATATCTCGCACCAACGATAATGAAGGGTTAATTTGGAAGCAAGGAAATGATAGATCAGGCATGGCTCTAACTCGAACAAGCTCTCTCAGCTGCCCAGAGCATATACATCGATCATGCTTGCTACGGGAGGGAGATTTCGTCATCAATCTGCACCATCACAGTATATCACTTTGGGACGCAAGATCTCCAGTCGCTCAGCTTGCGGTCTCTTGCGCTCTTCAAGCCGAAGGAAAGCCATTGTGTCTCATACCGCTACCAAAGTCGGACACTAAGTCTCTTTGTCACTACGTGGCCACCATCACTTCCATGATGGAAGCCATTGTTTGGAAGGTCAACTTACCACCCAGATCTCAACGGCACCTTGACGAAGATTTGATTCCTTCCATGGAATCATTCTGCGCCTCCGAGTTAGGAATGCAGGATGACCTTGCATTTGTCTTGCCAGTAGATCCAGCTGGCTCTCTTTCTGCTGCATCCGACTTTCTGGACACTTTCGCCAAAGACTTAGCCATATCATATACCGACAGTGGTGTACTGTGTGCTTGGACCGCTACGCTTGATCTTGATAAGGGATCTGTCAACTGGCTCATCACGTCGACTACTGAAACTGGCATCAACAAGCCGTCACTGGCGAGCGGAAGCTCGATCAGGAAGATCGCGGTTGTCGATAGCGCAAAGACCGGACTGACGATATGGGATTCTTGGAGTGGTCAGCTGGAATTCGATGCTAAATATGGGTCATCTGACTCAATACAGGACCTTGACTGGTCGTCAACGCCTGACGAGCAATCAATTCTTGCTGTTGGCTTTCCGTACAAGGTCAAGATCCTGGCTCAGATGCGTTATGACTACCTGAACGCAGGCCCTGCTTGGGTATCCATACGAGAAATTCACATCAAAGATCTCACCTCGCATCCCATTGGAGACAGCACCTGGCTAGGGAGCGGCAATCTCATCATTGGAGCTGGGAATCAGCTATACATTTATGACAAAGCTGTGAACACATCAAATGACAAGATCATGGATCTTTCAATACCAGTACACCAGCACCAATCACTGAGTATTTTCGACTTGGTCACTTACCTTAACGGGCCACTCCCAGTCTTTCATCCTCAATTTCTTGCCCAATGCATTCTTGCGGGCAAGTTAGACCAGGTGCAGCGGATTATCATAGGGCTTTACAAGGCTTTAAGATTCTTTGTTACAGGTGACGACCTAGACAGTTTTGTGACTATGAGACCCAGCGATTTCTACACCGAACAAGAGGTAACAGAATACAGTTGCTACACCTGTGACTAGCTAACGAACACAGGGCTTTTCCTACGCAGCGAAAAAGGAGATGCGATCGTCATACGCGGATTTTGTTAACGACGATGAGCCAGAGACTGTCACTGAAGAGCTAGCTGCTTCGCTGAACGAGAATCTTGCCAAGCTAGCTATTCCACAGCTCTCGAGCCACGAACAATTATACCTAGCTGACATCATTGAGTGCGTTGCCACAGCCGAGAAACAACGACGCTCGATGGATGAGAATGCCATGCGCTACCTTCTTTTCTTCCGGCAACATATAGTTAGGAAGAGCCAAGCTCCTGCCATTCAAGTGAGCATTACTTGGAGAGAGATCATCTGGGCATATCACAGCGGCAGCCAAGACATACTGGTCGATTTAGTCTCCAGACAATTTCATGGCAGATTGCTCTGGGAGCAAGCGAGGGAGAGTGGAATGTTCATGTGGATGACTGATCTGACCGCACTTGTAAGTCCCAGTTACGAAGGAAGACACCTGTCTCCGCTAAGCAAAGATTGTAGCGAGCCCAATTCGAAGTCATAGCCCGCAATGAATACACAAAGACAGACGAAAAGAACCCGATTGATTGCAGCCTATACTATTTAGCGCTCAAGAAGAAAAGCGTTCTTGTCGGACTATGGAGGATGGCGGCCTGGAACCGCGAGCAGTCCGGGACCCAGAAGCTACTACGCAATGACTTCTCGGAAGCTCGGTGGAAGACTGCGGCGTTGAAGAATGCTTATGCCCTTCTAGGCAAACGCCGGTTTGGTATGTTGGATCTGAACCATCTTTGGACATCGGCTGACCCGCTAGCAGAATATGCTGCGGCCTTCTTCCTCCTCGCAGGCAATCTCCAGGACGCCATCAACGTGTGCGCTAATCAACTCCATGACCTACAGCTTGCCATTGCGGTTGCCCGTGTCTACGATGGTGACGACAGCTTGGTACTTCGTTCGTTGCTAGAAGAGAGGGTGCTACCACAAGCCGCCTTCGAAGGTAATCGATGGCTAGCGACATGGGCCTTCTGGATGCTCGGCCGGCGCGACATGGCTGTCCGTGTCCTAATCTCGCCTGTTTACACTTTAATCAATTCCCCCGAAGCCCCCAATTTGCAGTCCAAGTCCTACCTTTCAAGCGATCCAGCATTGGTGGTTCTTTACAAGCAGCTCCGAGGAAAGACTTTGCAAGCACTTAAAGGTGCATCAAAGGTTTCACCACGTGCGGAATGGGATTTCGTCATTCAGAACGCGCGGCTTTACGATCGTATGGGCTGCGATCTGCTCGCACTAGACTTGGTGCGCAATTGGGAGTTTCTCCAGCAACCAAAAGAAACGACTACGAATGGGGCTCAGCTTCCTGACCCGCGCAACATGCTCCGACGGAGAAGCAGCCTTGTGGTTGATGACACGCCGATCCCAAGGTCACCTACAGAGCAGAAGATGAAGCCGATGGGGAAGCCAGCGCCTACGGTCTTCGAGGAGCCGAGTACTAATAGTCTGCTGGATAGCTTTGGGTTTTGAAACTTCCTAATATTGCTTTCGGCGTTTGGAGGATCAGGATCGGGACAAAGCCCACCACATAGCGCCGGCGTTTTGAGTTGTACTTGTACCCTTTATGACCGCCTCCGTTGTGGCTTTGGTGATCATGCCGCAAGCACAACCTGAACATAAGAGCCGTGAGACAGAAGTGCGGGGAGAGAGCGTACACGGGCGGTGAGCTAGGGACAATATCTAGGTTGTTTAACGTTGATATTCATTCTTTCAATATGCTGTAAAGCCGAGCCGTGGTTGGGCAATTGGCTATTCGTCTTGCAATCTGTCGGTCAATCTTGTGAACATACATATCTTAGCGGATGATCGGACTCACCAAATCTAACAATCGCAGTCTGGTATGGCCAAAGGCCATTCTTTTGTTTGAAGTCCCAAGCTTCTCTCGAAACCTGCTCTTTTGGCACGATGAAGACCCTCTTTTGGCTGCAAACATGGTTGACCCTCAGAGCTCTTCGCATTTCCACGAGATCAGGTCCCAACGCACTTGGTATACAGGAGATGGAGTCCCTTGCTACGAAAGTCTCTGGCTTTGCTGAGCAAGGTACACAAGAATGCATGCTGCAGACGGATTATTTTCTGTTCGTTGTGCCTCTCTACCCCCCCGAACTACTAGCACAATGTTCCGTCCGCTCAGCAGACGAACGATCCTGTCAAGCTAGCTTTCACCTCTTCCGTCACTCATCACTCCTCTTTTCCCTTCCGCACTGTCTTCATTTTGACGCACCGACCATACAGCCACTCCATATTCGATCCCAGCGCTTGCACCCCGAAGATACCGGCGGCTATGGAATACCATCCCAAAACTGTCCACGGGAAGTTGCACTCATCAAGGAAGTCTGGGAAAGCGATGATTATGTCGTAGTACAAGGATAAGCATTCAATGGTATTCATAGAGCACAAGAGGGAGTGGATGGTACGAAGGACAGTGCTTTTGGAGCAGGCTGGTGCCGAAAACACGGTTCATGACTGTGGAGTTTCTCGTTGAGCTAGGGCCTCGACTTCACGGTTTGGCTTTCATGGTACAATGGGATTAGGGTACGAGGCACTTTGGTTGAGAAGACATGCTTGTGGAATGCAAGGGCGTCTCGTTGGAATCTTCTGGTATAGTTAAGAAATAAGGAAGAACGGGGTTGAATTGAAGTGTCCTGTGGTTGTTCGATTCGCTCAACACTTTCAAGACTTGCTGCTTGCATACGCATGCAACCCTTTCATCGAGCGACTCGAAGCATCTTCGGAGCAGCTGTACACTCACACCAAGCCGCCTCCCTCTTTCCCTCCCCTGGCGCTTCCAATAGCATCACCATTCCGCTCTCCTGCGTCCTCCTTGTCCCGAGCGAAATAGATATGCGACCACACCGGGTATCTCAGCTCCAGGTACACCATTCCCGCCGCGAAAAGAACGGAGCAGACACCGAAAATCCACAAGAGTAACGGAGTGTGAATTGCCTTGCGAAAATTGTCGTAGAGTTCTTCGGACTGGATTTGCGGTTTAGCAGTGTTGAACGGAGTGGGAACCGACGGTACGTACGAGGAGGACGGTAGAGTTCGCCGAAGTAGACATCGTAGTTGGAGGATGGTGCGTGTCCGGGATGCTGAAAGATGTAGATGGGTAGCCTTGCTGTTCTGGCTTGCTGGAGTGGGCTGAGGAGGATGTTTGTTGTGCGTTTTTTTGGGCAAAATTGGTGAGTTGTTGTTTGCAGGGTAGCGGATGAGGCTGGGGGTTCACTGACAGTGAGCGATAAGTGTTGTTATTCGGATTTCTTACCTACCGAGATGGTAGCAGCCCAACGAATACCGACAGCCAAGCTTACACATGGGAATCTGTATCGATATCTGTTTAGCTATCTATGTGATTATTTGCCCTAACAAAATAATCTTTGATCTACAGCCCCATAAGAACCGTCGAACCAGGTCTTACACCTCGAATCAGCACTCTCTGGTCTTTTCAGGCACTGTGTTCTCCAACCCACCCCATTCCTCAACATACCACCTCAGTGTACCAGGAACAACGGCACGTTAAAAGGCCAATGACTGGGTAGACAGTGAAATACCAACCAACGGTAACGCCATCAACACCAGCCTGCAAAACCCCGACTCCAGCGGCGCTCAATGCGCACCTATGAAGACCGCTACTCGGTTTCTCGCAGTAACAAATTGCATCACAAAGGAGCGGCAATCGAGGTATTTGCCTGCAAAATCGAGCCATATCCCGCCATTGCGACTGCGGTAAAGGAACACTGATCTCAATCTCGCACGGTTGTCAGCAGCCTTGGAGACTGGCAGCCTGGAAATGCTGGCTGTAATGCGATAATCGTAGTCGAGGAGTTTCCCGTTGAGATGCACAGCAAGGATACCCCCAATACCTGATGGGAGGAGGTAAAGTAGACTTAGACTTTACTACTAGTACAAGTAGTGGCGAATATCCTATAGCGTCTTGGCATTATGAAGCCTCTCGAAGAATCTTCCTTGCCTAATGCAATTAACCACATCATCGCTAGATACACTCTACACAAATCGCTGATGAGGCGCTATATAAGCAAAGCCTTTGCTTTCTACACATACGAACGATCATTCACGGGTGCAAAAGATGCTTTCCAGCCTCGCAATTCCTGTCGTTTGACCGGTTCGACATGACGCTTCTTAGGGGCTTTTAGAATGACACATTGGGGAAGTTCTCATAAGTACCCTTAAATGTATAATAAAAAGTCGAACAAAGGTTGCCGGATTTCGGAACAAATGTCGGCAACCGATTAATGTTCCTCAAAAACTTCCAAGCCTTTGACATGTTCTTAACGAGTCGTCTCATATTGCTCTTCGCCATCCTCCTAAGACTGTATCCGTATTCGGTCTTGGCGAATAGCGCTGACATCAGCAGGTCATAACGACTATATTCAGAGTGACTTGATCAGCTTCATTCTCTAGCTCAACGGTGATGTTGATGCGTAAGTTGAGACTCATCACTCGACGGTATTATATGCGGCTGAGGAGCTATACTGACTGAAGCGTTGGAGAGCCAGATGAGAAACCTTCATGAGCTGGGGTAGGGGATCTTACCGAGCGTATAGTGCGTTTCGATCATCCCAGTCGCGTTGTGGTTCTGACATGCCCATGGTCTTTTGATACTCCTTCAGAAAAGGACGACCCATCCCATTTCAATATTTATCTGTGAGAGTCGATGGGATTCACCGTTGCGAGCACAAAGAGTCTCACATCAGCCATGCAGGTTGAAAGGGAAGCAGCCATTGCGCTCTCCGGTTCTCTAGATCGATGTGCCATAGGACCTGCTCATATGGTTTTGGGCTAATCGGGGTTCATAGCGTTTTCGGTCAGTATCGCCTAATCTTGTGACATTTCCAACTTGCTTGAGATGATTACAGGGATCATCAGGCAGTGTATCTCAATCATTTGTCATCATTACTTGGAGCTAGTCTCAAATCCACGCATATTGTATGAGGGTGTTCAGTAAGCGTGGATGTAAGGGTCACTTCTATCTCCTCTTTCCTGGCTAGCACGTATATCACTATTCAGGAGACAGGCAGAACCTTCGTCAACATCTCTTTGGAAGCTATTCACGCCCTGTTCGGTTTCTCAACATGTCGATCTGCTTCCTCCCGTGCCATCACCCCTCCTCCCTCAAGCCAAGTGCAGGCTCCCCTCACGACAGCCTTCACACGGCTTCCAAACCCTTGCGAACCTTCCCCGCCAAGACTCCTTCCGCGAGCCTAATTTGATGGATTCTCACCATTATTGCCGCTCCCATGAGCACATCCAAGGCGAGAAGCACCCAGAGTTGTTTGCTGGGGAGGCAGTAGTCGAGCACTTCGTACTAATGGTACAGGTTAGTGGTGCTGCGACGAGGAGAGGAAGTGATCGCACGAAACATCATGTTGGGGTAATCGAGTGCAGAAGACATTGGTTGAGGGAGTATGAGCTTATTGTGGGAGCTGGGTTGGTTTTGGTGGCTATTTTGGCTGTTCCGCTTTGCTGGGGTAGATTTTGTGTGAAGGCATTATGGACTGAGGGATGGGAAAGGGGTCTGACGATATATAAGAACAGGGGATGTGTGTTGATTGCCTAGATTGGCAGACTAGTGTCAGGTATTGAAGGTGCGAAGATCACTGGAGGACGGCATCAACACGCCAGATTTGCAACGGAAAAGCCTTGGTATTGGTAACAGTATGGTAATATTTCCTATGCAGCCGGTGCTTTTGCCCTTCTCTACCACGCCACCGTCGCCAAAACGTTCCGAGACCCTCACTTGGATGGCGCATTGAAAGGTTGGAGATTGGGACATTGAAGATAGACGGACTGAACAGGAGTGGCACGCCTTGGCTAAACCGGTGTCAAGACATCGTTGTTGTCATCGTTCGGATGGGTTTTTTGCTGTAACTGATAGAGGCCCCCGGGCTCTTGAGAGCACGTTCCAAGCACTGCCGGGACGTTGCCGCCTCTGAGATGATAAGCTTGATGCAGGTGAGGAGCGAATTGCAAGCAGCTGCGGTAGGATATAACCAGCGACGCGCTCAGTCCGGGCCAGGCCGGGATTATCCGTGACTCAGCCCGGGGAGTGGGAGACTGCCCAACCACGGGCCCGGGGACCAAGGAAGATGGTGCAGACAAAGATGCAGGAGTGCGGGTTGTTGGGGTCGATCCAGAGAGCGATGACGGTGCGCATTGAGAAAAAGGGGATCCGGCCAGCGGAGAGATGTTTGGAAGATGGGTAAGGGTAAGGAGCGGGATGAAGGGTATGGAGAGGTACATGGGAAGGGGGATGCTGGTATGTATATACACGTGCTGCTGGGACGCCGTGTCTACAATGCTCTGGACCCACCATGTGGGATTTGAGACTCGACAAAGAGGCTACATGACTGTAGTTGACAGATCTCGCATGCAGGTGCAGAACTGATAGACAGACCTTGGATGATAAACTTCTATCTCACGTCGTCTTGCTTTGTATATCCCTGAGACAT